TCTGCAGCAGTGATAAAGAAAATAAAATTTTTGAAAAAGAAAAGAAACCTGTACCAGTTTTTCTCACGTATCAGGACTCCAACTCTGTAATATCGTAAGGTACTGGGTCGCTCGGTCAGGAGGAGTGGACTCGTACGAGTCACCGGTTCTACAAGGATGCTGGAATTCTACTAGCCTCTGGACACCATAAGCGTCATAAAGTCCCACGCGACTGCCGTACATCCAGACGTTCTGGATAATAGTTGTTACAGTTAAGAATAGCTAATCTCAAAGTCAGATATATATATATATATATATATATATATATATAAAATACATATATTACATATATGTATACGCGCACAGAAGGACCGTTAAACCTAGAAAAATGTTCCCTTATAGGAACAGCATTAAGGAACATGGCGTGCGAAGATGACCCCGTCTATGTCCGTCTCCATACTAAGTACGGGAAGTGCTGAAGTGCCGTAACTGGCGAAACACCATAGCCGGGACTTATGGTCAACACCATAACTTGTTAAAACTGGTTCGGCCGCAGAACAACCACGTGCTTTGCCGTGGCCTCGCGGGCTGTGCTGTACCGACACTGCGTAGCTATCAGGTCAGAAAACGCATTAACTGGTGAAAGCTCATGGTGATTTGGACAATTTTTTCTTATGCCGACACCGCAAAGTACTTGACAAAGCCATAATCTACAGGTGTCTATAATTGTTTTAAAATCATATACGCATAAACTTTTCTATCTAGATACATTCGCTTGCGTTACGTATTTCATTTACTTTTACGCGTGTAATATAAGGCTGTCAAAGTATACCATATAGAACGCCATGACATTAAAAAGGCAATGAATACAATGCAACGCGTATATCGGGATTGTTGTATAAGGTGAGAAAGGTGAGTTTAGTTAGTCCCAATTGGTAGTCCAGTAGGTGTGGCTCGATAGGTACAAAAATGATCGAAAGAATTGTCTTTCTCGAAGGAAATAATAATGATCACAACGTACTGTAGCAAATTACAAATTAAAGAAATTTTTGAATAAGTGCCTAAAGCCTGCGCAGCTCGGCAGAGGCTATTAGAATAAACTAAAACATATATATATATATATTTTCATATTACTAACCCTTAATTAGGCTCAAGATCTGCAATCGTGAACCATTGCTCATTCACGTGAAAAAATCCGTGTCAGGACTATGCTCATGAAATTTGTTTTAATGAAAGGAAACATCAAATACTTCACCATGTATTTCACTATACGAATAAATACAGTCTGATAAATATATGTATAGTTAAAAGTTTTTATTTCTCGTCCAACTCGTTGGTAAAATCTAAACGTCTCACGGTGGGTTAAAGATCGTCATACTAAATGGACCAGAGGAATCGTAGCGAAATTTTATGGGGGGATGAAGTGCGTTTCTTTTTTTTTCTTTCTTTTATTCTTTCTTTCTTTCTATTCTTTTTTTTTTCAAATTTTGCACTCAGCACCGTACCTACGTCACGACAGTTTGCATGCTTTCTGCTGAAGAAAATCTCGAACAATATTATCAATCGATATCGATGCTGTATGTTGAGTAGTAACGGTAGCGGTATATATAAGTCAGACCTCTAGTTGCATATAACATGTGCAATCTACTGAACAGTAAGGCTGGTGCCCATTAAGCGACAGACTTCGTGTTTATTGACTACGAGGAAGGTTGTAGTTGCCACAGAAAATAGACAACAGCAAGGAAAGCAAAATAAGTTGGTGAGAAGTGACAATGAGGAAAGAGAAAGAAAGCGATAAAAGCAAAAGAAAAAAATGAGATCAGAGAGGCAAAGTCGACGTAGAGACGTAGTATGAAAAAAAAAAGAAAGAGAAAGAGAAAATCAAGATAAAAGAAAAAAGGAAAAATAAGTTGTATACGGAAAGCCGACTTCCTCCTTTAAGCCGGAAAGCAAATGTCGGTTCTCATGTCTGCCGGCATCTTCGATTCTATATTTACTTTTCATATTTACGACGTCTCACTCTTCGCTTTCTTCTTGTCGACGGCGTGCGCGTCTTCAACGAAAAGCTCGACTTTTTGTCGCTATTCCAGGCGTCGCCGCATGCGGATACGTAACATTGGCCCTGCAACGGGTTACGGTAGGTCCCACACCAAACTATGGAGATAATGATTATAACTATAGCGATGGTTTTTCTATTTTTTCTCGGCGAGCAGGATGGGCAACAGAGAAAAAACAGGAGAATTAAATACTATAATAAATAAAGACGCACGCCAGACATTTTGCTTACGCGAAAGCGATAACTCACGCATGACACTAATTGTAAATTAAATACCGAAGCTTCTGACACGCGCGACTTATGGTAATTTCACGGTTTCCTCGAGACTCGCCTACCGGATTCTCATTTCTCTAATCAACATCATTTACAGCCACAAGCAGTCCGATACGCAGGACGCACGACGCATTAACTCGCGTTACCAAGGCAACCGCCGCGGCTATAGACACAATCCAAGCGTTAATTGCTCCTTCATGGAAACGTGGCGAATCGCGGGCGACACGAATTCAAGAGGAATGGATCAGTCTCTTTCCAACGGGAAATTCCACCTAGCGGGATTCCCTCCGCCATCTTGGATTTGTTCGATCTACAATAAAACAAAAACTAACTAGAAAAAGACAGAGGAAAAAGAGTGAGAGTGAGAGAGAGAGAGAGAGAGAGAGAGAGAGAGAGAGAGAGAGAGAGAGAGAATATCGAGTAAGTGTCGTCGCGCTCGAAGAATTCGTCACATGAAAATCCGGTCGAAAATCAAAACCTCTGTCGAAAGCTTCCATTGAAGCATATAGAGAGTCAAGAGTTAATGTTATAAACTTATAACGCAACAGTCAACGCATCAATTTCGCTCTTCATTATTACAGCAGCCAGTTTCGCGACACTAATGGAAGTAATACATGCGTCGCGGCGTGCTACACCACACGTGTTAAGGCGACCGCACAGGCTCCGTGCACAGAGTGACGACGTGCCATAAAATTCGCGATATCGCGAAACAATCAGAAAGCAACGCGCTGCCTGGGAAAAGGTAAAGGCGTGTACACATGGGTTAATACGTATATACGTAAATGGCAGAATATAAAAGACGTCACGGCGCGCAGCTGAGACCTGATAGTGGTCACACTCTCTCTCTATTTCTTGTAAATACGCGCGTGTTTTCATCGCCCGTTCAAATCTCCCGGGCTTTTATATTATATATACACATATATATGGGGAAACAGATATTCATATAGATATAAAGACACGGTCGTAATACATAAGGCTCAACTGTGGGAACTTATCGTTGAGATTATCGCCTTTCTTTCATATTTATTTATTGGATACGCACTGTTACCAGCAAGCATCGAGAAATATTTCACGACGATACTGTATTCTCGCGTGAAATCGTGGAAATGTTTTAAAAAATTCCAAAGACTTCGGGTAGATTGAATTGTACAAAAAAGAGTGCAAAAAATTTAAGACAATTTTTAAACAACAAAAACAAACAGTATATACAAGGCTACGATAGTAGCGGTGTCCTAGCAGGCGAACGCATCCAAGTATGGATAAATCCTTGAGACTGTTCTCAGTTTACCTAACAATACATAATAAAAAAGAACTAACAACTTTAGAGTCTTTAGAGTATCTTTACAATTGTATTTTCTGTGACAGAAAAATTGTAGGTAATGTCTACAAAAAGGTTGACAATATCGCCAGTTAGGTGGCCAAATATGTATAGAAATAGATGACAGGTAAGCAAACACGCAGTACTTATTCAGATACAGAGTGTACTAGAATAAGGACACATTATTGTACCATATACTATATGTATACGTTGCACGTGGCGCACAGCCAACGGCTCCACGGAAAGATTTCATATATTTCGACGCTGGACAAGGAGAAATCCGACATTTGCGCTCTAATTGCCAGTCCCGGGTACCGGGTGTACAGAAATATTAAGAATAATTTCCAATGGACGACGAGGAACATGCGAGCTGATAACATCAAGAGCTTCAGATCCTTCAGAAGTATTCCATGTGTAACGTGGTCAGTGGATTTTGAGAAATTACAAAATAAATGCTAGACATCGATTGATATGAGACGAAAGTGAATGCTCGTTTTTACCTGATAGGCGGGTTCAGTAAATCAGGGAAACGTTTTTTTTGTTGTAAAAGCAAATTTGCAGGTAGATAAGTCAAGTGATAAACACGACTGTAGAGATGTCGCTAAAGAGAGAAGAGAGTGCAGTGCCTACCACTTATGAAATGAGAACCATAAAAATATTATGGGATAGTATTTAAATGAAAAATGAAAATACGCATATTAAACGCCATAAAAATGAAAAACTGTATTAAAGAAAATGTTCTCCAATATTCCATTAAATCGGTAAGCAAATAAGCACACAGGAAGTAACAGAAACGTGTAATGTCTCTCGGTACATTAAACTTTACCTAGGAACGTTAATTAATACATAGAAGTATTTAAGTCCAAGCGCAGGCAAGTTGGCACGCGGAAAACGTAGTAGCAATCCGAGAGTAATGTTACACCATAATGGGAAACACCATAGAGAAATCTACATGCATAGGCTAATCCACAGACATACCGACAAGACTCTACCGTGCCAGGGAGTTCCTGGACAACCCCGTGAACTCTTGTCCACGTAATTATAATGCATATAAGTATATGCGCATGCATATACCTGTAGGCAAGGCAAGGCAGGATCTTTCATGTCGACCAATGAAAGTTCTGAGATGCGAATTGCATCTTATTTCTTGTACAGTCTTGATTAACTACTTATACGTGACTAGTTCGTATAGAACTGCTGATACAGGAATTTATACCGTGAAAGGTTAATCAAAGGGCTCGTGAACGAGCTTAGGTCCTCCAGGAGAAGCTAATGGAAGCGTTAGAAAGCGCTTGAGAAATTAAATGTTTCCTATCATTTTCAGAATGCACCTGGTAAGTAGATTAAAATAATTGGACAACCGATAAAACTCACCATATGCTCCATTGCCTTTTCCTCAAGCTCAGCTCTGCTCCAATCCACATGAAAGCTTAATGGCTGAAGACGCGATTCCATTTCGCGAAGCCACTTCCTCAGGCACTTTACTTCATGATCAAAATCTGTAAAAAAATATTTAGGACAATTAATTGATAATCGACGTTACCAATTCAAATAAATTTGTTATAATTTCATTCTAATAGCGTTTTCGGATGACGGGAAATTCTTGGATGGAATCTAATTTATACTCTAGTACGTTTTTAAATGGCAAATATTGTTACAGTAATACAATTTGATGCAGTGTAGAGTTGCACTCGCGGGGGGCTACACTTTACAGTTAATGCAAAAAAAATTATGCCAATGGAATATGCTATAGAGTTTTAGAACAGAAGATTCTATAGACTGTTCAGTGACATCTATCAAATTTTACCCAAAGCTTCTCAGAATAGTCTACAACTCAGAATACGCTAGAAAGTAATGGTAACTCCTGAGCTATGGTAAGATCCTTTTGAATTGCTATAGACAAGGCAAAGTTCTACATTATCGACGTACGATCATTTAACGACAGATAATAATACGTTGGAGTACCTAGGATATGCTATATGAAGATAGAAAAAAAAAAGTAATCACCTGCAGAAACATCCTGTTGATTAGAGACTGGCTGGACTCCAGGTGTCATTATCTGTTCAACGAGCTCCCATTTAGTGTTCAAGTGATCGACACGCCATGCCACTTCGTCTCGAAGAGTTGGAGCACGTGAGACCAACTTTCCTGCTTGCTCGTTAAACAGTCTTCTTCTGTAAGCCTTACGTCGCAGCTCCTCCATGTGAGCCTACAGTTTTAAGAGACATTAATTAAAGTATTATCGATTGACAAAAAATAATATGATTATTATGACAAGAAGAACATACCGCTCGAAGACTTTTGTCCAATAAATTCTCCTCTTTCGAGTAAACCAGTTCCTGAATAGCACCGAGCCAGGAATACAATTCCGAAAATTGTCCACTGAGTTCCTTCAATCCCCAAGATAAGGTAGATACGTCAGTCTCGTCCCAAGCAAGTTCTCCGTTTGCCTCCTGATAATATGATTTGATATAATTATTTGATACTGCAATGCGAAAGCTAAACTATATTAACAACACGCCATAACGTTCAGAACTCACTTTGCAACTGTCAATAAGATTGGTGTCCATGATGTAATTGTAATTAGACTGTATAGCCGCCCAGAAATCATCTTTATTATCTTCTCTACTTCCCCAGGAACGACGCCACTGTTCCTGCTCCGGATCCTTCCTATTAATAGCACAATTAAATATTTTTCCTCGAATCCATTAAAAAACGACTATATCTACAATATAAAATATATCCATCACATTTCACGTATCCTGCTGTCTTACCTTTTCTTCGTCAGACTATTGTAAGGACGATCAGCACGCAGCCTAGCATGCTCAGGACCCTCTAGACTGTTGCTAGAGGGCTGCAGCGAGGACAGCGAGAAGCTCATCTTCATCGACTTAGCAATACCTAAACAAAATATTTAAAACTATCCTTAATTCATTCACCTTATCTATGATAAGAGTGTACAATATACACATATAAAAAAAGTATTCTCTATAGTTATTTTTGAATATAATATTGATACTCGATATTACACAACCATGACTAACAGCAGCTGTTTTTGAAGGGTTTGATCACTGTTACTAAACTTATAGCTCACGACACCTTGTAATCACCAGGTGGAAACAGGTTCCTCGTTTAACGAGGTAAGTTGCGATAATTCAACCAACTCTTCCCCGGAAGGGAGGTCCCCGGAGGAATACAGAATATTCTAAACCACGTACGTAGAACTAACTATGCTAATCCTCATCATTGGTTATAAACCAGAGGAAGCCCTTTCGGTTGAGCATCAAGAGCACGGTGAAGTAAACAACTCGATTCATGCTCTACAGCATTGTGAGGCTTAATGAAGCTGATGATGCGCCGAAGAAAGAGAAAATTGATTAACCAGAAGATGAGGAAGACGTCCAACGGTGATCAGCCAGGTAAAATAGCAATTGGCTATCGGTTACGGGTGCACTAAGCCATTACGCAATGTGAGCTCAACTAGAAAGTCGTTAGCCGTCTAATAACCGGAGATATCGGATCTCTGGATTGGTTACTGGAAATGGTGGAATTAATAACGGACGAAGTAGAAATTGCAAAAAAAAAATGAAAATTAATTCAACACGTAAAGCTAGGTAACAAAAATTGATATTCTAAAGGTTGTGTGACATTTTTGAATCTTCAGTAAAAATGTGTCCCAGCTCGTGAAAAAAAAAACAACCTATGATAAATTAAAAGAATTTAGTTTTTTGCAAATCATTTTAAGAGAAAAAAATTGTACGAATACTTACTGGCGCCGACGGGCGACATTTCTACGACTGCCGTATCCGAATCGTAAGGACGTCCAATACCTCGTCGAGGATGACAACGAGGGAACGGAGAGGAGAGCGTCTCCTCGGCGTCCGCAAAGCCGGTCAGGACCGGCGAGTGTTTCTCAACGTGGGAATCCGTGGTCGATCCACATCGTCGACAACTGATCCTTTTATCCTGTGACTTCCGTTTATAGCTCCTACCGCGCCTGTTGCTTTTTCTAAATAAGTCTGTAAAATAAATAAGAAAGGTTGCAAAAGCAGTAGAAAAAAATCTATTTTACATAAATAAATTTCTTAATGTTCATTGAACAAACCTTACCTGAGATTTCGATGATAACTGTGTGTTCGGTGATAATGAGTGAATCCACTCTGGCTTTGATGATTTGGATAATGGTGATGACCGTGCTGATAATTATGCTGGTAAACGAAACGATTATGAGAATTGTAAGTACGACGATGTGATTGCGTGAAACCGATAAGAATCGGCCGCCCCCTAGCGGCTCGAATTCTCTCCTGCCATGTCTTCTCCTTCACGCCTCGGGAATGCTCGCCATGAGCTTCCGAGTTTTCCTAAAATCAAATTTAAAAAAAATGAGCCATCAGAGGAGATAAGCACAAAAAATGTTACACGTCTAACAATATGCATTACGAAATTAATCATTTTTTGTGTAAAACTCAAAAATGGGTGCAATTGTCACGTGACTCTACTTCGACCCCTCTCCACGACGTAAAAACTTATAATAAAAATACGTAACGCAAGCAAAGAGTTATTATCGATTGTAAAGCAACTTTTTCTTTGGTCGACAAAGAACCACGGTTAACGGTGCCTGATGCAGACGACGTTATTCAAATATCAAGCCTGGGCCCGACGAGACTGGGGACTTGGAAATGAAGCCCTCCCTGTTTGTGGAAGAGGCGACACTAGATAACAAGTGTTTGACTTTAACATTCTTTTTTCTCTGTTTCGCTTGTCTCTTATTTCATTCTTTCTTTTGGATATGTATTGGGTCCCGTTTAACCCAATTTACAGTAGATCCCCACCAGTCTGAACGCACACGCCTTATTTAGTAAGCTCGTGACTCCACAGGACCATTTGTCGTTCGATTCTTACAATGAAAATAACCGGGGCCCCTTCCCATTGCCGGCAAGCAGACGGGGCCCATACATACGTTCACGTATACCAGTCAACGCACGTGAGACAGAGTGGAATTCGTGATAGGTGAAACAGGCCCCTAAATACTTCACTTCGAAACGAATATGTAGCTTCTGCATTCTTATATTTATACAAGAAACATATTTTCTTATGCATCTACTTTATAAAATGATTATTATTAATTGTGCACGCATGTTAATGTCACATTGGGCCAGAAAGTAAGAATTTTCGGTAATACTATTAAACCTTGTAAAATAATTTCCCACAAGTAAAACAACTATGACGTTTATCAAAGATGCGAAAATATTACGTAATTTTTATTGTTGTGCATTAACAAAGGAAAACGTTACGTGCACTTGGCCTTATCAACAAAAGAATATATCAATGTGATAGGACTGATTGATCACTGTATCTCTGAAAAAATTATCTATCGTATATCTCTGTCCAATAACGAAATTTCAGCGATCTAAAATCAATGTACAATATCCCGCATGATCAACTAAATTTTTTGAAAAGAAATGCGTTAAAGTTATTGCGCACGCACCCTCTGCAGGCTAACTACAGCAAATAATTGTAAAAGAAGCAAAAGGAACCACTATCGGCACTTACAAGGAAACTCAAGTCAGCATAGTAGCACAGTAGACATTATTACGCGTAACATACGATCCTTTTGACTCACAATCGCAAATAAATTCGCAGAACGTAACTGACCTCGCCGATAGGCTATCAATAAAGATCACTAGAGCGGCCCAACAGTACCAAGCAAGTACAGCCGTATTACCACTAATGTAAGTAGTGAGGCCATATATATATAAATATATACACAGCACAGTTACTCTGCAAGAGCGCAGAGCTATCACGTCATAAATAGTAAACCCTGAAAGACGCTAGGAAATAGTGATAACTCTTATCAAATATATACTGACAAGCAAAGAAAATATTAGCTGTGAAAGAAAAAAGAAAAATTATTCTCTGTTTAAGAAAACTGCGATATACCATAGAAGCAATAAGGTGCATTGGTAAGTATAGAAATCATATTTTTGGTCTATTCTAAAGTGCATCGATGAAAGAGTCATAATTAACAAATGCAATATTGTATGATCCAGATGCAAGTGACTGAGTGCACTTAGAGTGTCAAGCATCGCGGAGTAGATACTCAGAAGTGCATATGTCAAGTGGTAGAGATTAGGTTGGGCATCTATAGTGAGCACAAAGCCCAAAGATTCTAATTTGGGTACTGGTGCACCGGCATGGCCAGTGCACATAGGGAGTCACCTACATAGATCGGTATTACGGGATGGCAAATAAACCATCATGGGAGTCTTCGTAGTCATCGGGTGACTGTTCCTCTACGTAGAGTTACTATTCGACGATGCAAGAGAGTGCATCTGAATGTATCAGAGTATTGTAGAGAGGGAGAGAGAGAGAGAGAGAGAGAGAGAGAGAGAGAGAGAGAGAGAGAGAGAGAGAGAGAGAGAGAGAGGGAGGGAGAGAGGGAGAGAGAGAAGGAAGGAGCATCTCCAGAGAAGCTCACCGTAAATAGAGCGACCAAGGGATATGGCGATACAGCAGCGCCATTTCGGCGCATCCGTAGAAATAGTACGGTGCATCACTGCCCAATCATTTAATCTATGCACATTTCCTGCTACTCCACTTCATACTGCAACGAAGGTGCATCTATAAGTATATACACACACATTAATCTCAACGAGAAAAAAGATTATTTGCAGCGCGTGCAAGGAAGATTCTATCGAGATACCAGGAATGCATCGAGATAGGAAGGATGCACAGGGCCGCGAAGAATGCACCGAGATACCAACCAGTATATAGTATATGCAATGCATTTTACACTATACGTATTTATAAAGTATAGATATAGTTTAGTACCAATGTACAGTCCACGCAGTCCCCGATAGTGCCACTGGTCGAACCAGTTTCTAAGATGAACTCGCTCGTCCCCTTTCACGAGAGCAATGCATTTTTGGCTAATTGTTTCCAAAAATAAGAAGTTCAGTTTTCCATCTGCTATCGAAAGAAGGTACAAATTTGCATCGGAGTGCGAATCGATATTGGTAATGAAAGTGGTAGTAAAAATCGAGCAGTCTGAAACTTAATCTAGACAAACGTTTTCTCACTTAAAGAAGAAAAAGGAAAAGTTGGTAGTAAAAAAGGGAATACAAATTTTAAATAAACAGGGGCCAACGTTACCCTTACGAAAATAGGCCGGACTCTCGACCGGCTGACCGTAAATAGAAACCCATCATGTGGGTGCATCCACCGATTCGAGTGCATCCATGCAGGACTGTTCCTTTCGGTAAATAAGGCGCATCCGGCGGCCCCGTCAAAAGAATCTCGATGGCTATTCCCACGGAGAATATAAATAATAAGAGAAAAAGAGTGAGAGTGGTAGGGAGAAAGGAAGAGAAAAAAGATATCCAACGTGACGACTGCACCGTCAAGTTTCAGAAGTCAGGTCCACCGGCTACGTCATAGATCAGTGATTATATACAGACATGCTGATATTGGGGGCGGGGGGAGGGGGGCAGCTAAATTCATTCGGGATGCACTTTTTAATGCACTTCCGGCACAACGAAGATGGAGCGAGTCATGGCTTGTAGAAAGTCTAGTGAGATTACGAGATATTTTTTTTGCGTTCTATTTCCATACTACGATTCAGCATGTAACAGAAATGCATATAAGGGATGGAAAAGTCATTGAGAAACGTGAAACAATTATTTACACTTAATGTCTATCCTCGATGTAACAAGTCCAAGTGCAATTGGATGCAGAACTCGTATTCATGTCTGTCCAGGCACGACCTACTACTACTTACTCTCACGCTCGCCTTATCCGTATCAGGTTTTCCCCGTAATTTCATCCGTGTCTGGAAGACTTGTAATCAGGTATAAATAATCGCGAATTGTGCCAATTCTTTATGAAATTCAGAGCAAATTAAATATTTTTTGTGGTATACTGAATTGTTTGAAAACAAAAAGTTTATAGAAAATAGATATATGAATGCTCTATAGAAAACATGGGATATTAAATGATTTTTGATAAGGAAATCCCAATGGGATTTTAAAGATTTCCTTATTAAGTCGACAAAATTCAATTAAGGGGTGAATTCAATTAAGGATATTGCACCATAGGGTGAGTCGACTAATGGTATTAACGAGGACCATTAGAATATTATGGGAGTAGTCTATGGGGTGATTTTCATGGCTGCGTGTTTGTTTAAACGTCTTACAGGTTTGGTGTTGATAAATGATATAAAAGCACTAGGTTCAGACTTAATTGCGAGGTAGCGTTTATTGGGAAACGAAAAACTAAGCACAACGCCGTACATGTAACACGTGGCGCTCCTCTCTGCACACTGTCCACGCTCACGCCACCCCCCCCCCCCCCC